CCCCTAGATCCAGGAGTCTGTACTGCAAATGAGGGGATTACAGATCCAGCTGGGAGCTTATCCATAAGCACAGGAAACGCTGCGGAACAGCACTGCACACATGCAAAGAGCACTCACCGCAAGGATCAATGTCACACATGTTCTAGGCGTGGCGCAGAAGAGTAGAACCTGTTCCTGCTGCAGGTACATTACATGCAGCCATATTGATTGCACCTCAAGAAGCCAATACGCAGCCATTAAACTATTAATAATTAATATTAATCATTAGCGACATTCATGCAGTCAGATACTCTGCACTAAGAGTATAATGGCAAGGTCCCAGCCAGGATTCGAAGCCACAGCCTTCCAAATATGAGCTCAGAGCTATAACAACCACTCTACACGACAGATCACTTGTTTGGCCCCAGATTATAAAAGCTTGCTTTGCTTCCAGTGGTTTCTGACCACTGACTCTGCACCCACCTAGTCACACTTTATGAACATCAGGTCCTTAAGATTTGAGTTAAAAACCCAACAATGACCCCTTTTCATTGTTCCACCCCTTTACCTGTCACCTGTACCACTTATGCACCCTATAAATAAGACTCAGACTTTCCTCCTCCAGGATGGGTCCTCTAACACACCAATCCAGCCACCCCCTCACCCCGCATACAAAGGGGCCAGACATCCCCTAGGCATCAGCCAGACACCAGGCCTTCAGTCAAGCTGATTAAGGCCAAGCACAGGGCTCCTAACTAAATTTCCTTTTTTCAAAGGGAATTTTCTCTTAAATCAGAGGATTGTGGGTATGCTACCAGCCCAATGTGTTGAATCAAACTTAGTCTGCACCAAGTTTCCTTTCTATGAAAGGGATTGTCTGCAACAGGGCAGCAAACAGTAAAAGTGAAGCCGTTTCTCAAAAAGAGTGATTACCATCACTGCTATTATCTTCTTAACCTGCCCCCCCCCCAAGAAAACAGTGACTGAAACTGATACATCAATCAGTATTTTGCTTTATGTTTTTATCGGTAATATTTAGACATTACTTGACGAGGAAGATTTCATGGTGAAGGCCATCTGTTTTAATCCATTTCTAACTGAATGCACACTGTATTCTTTTAATTAACGCTAGGTTATACTTACAAAACGTGCACTTCTTGGTGTTAAAAAGATAAAATAATCTTGAACATCATGAATACCAGGCCTTTATATTGTAAAATACAGCAAATTTTGCTTCTTCAATTATAGTTGCAAACATGAATTACGAATAATAAGAGTCGTGCCTGACAGCGATGAAAGTCTTTTTTTTTTTAGCAATTTTTAAAAGAATGCAACACGGTTCTGTGGATGTGTTGTATTTATCTCTCTTTGACTAGCAAAATCCGTCTTTGCACCCCATTCATCTATCCCCAAACATGTCCATATCGATCCATCTGCTTGAGAATCTAGTATCGACTGCCTGTTTGAAACCAGCGGCTGCTGTTGAGTTGAAATGCGGACGAACCAGAGAGTGGGTGAAAGGTGCCTGTAGTGTAGATTTTAGCCACGGGGTTTAAATTCCCTCTGATCTTCTCTTTTTGATTTTTAACTGCAGTTTCTCCTTGGGGGTACACCGATACAGAACTAGGCCGGTGTCACAGGAAAGTTTTTTTTATTTTTCGGGCTTTAAAGACAAAGCCTTTTCTTTTGTCGTACAAGACTTCCTTCTTCTGCGGCTCGACAGCTCCTCTTCTTCCTCCTCTTCCTGCTCTGGATGGTTTGTTCTCTCAGTCGGGTCCTGGCTGTCCGTCTCATTGCTGTGCCCCAACGGGCCAACAGACTGGGACCTGAGCTGATAGCCTAAAAGCCCCAGTAGTTGTTGGAAGGGAGAAGCACTGAACCTCTTACATGAAGTACCAGCTGGTGGGTCATTCCCTGCGCCACCCTTTCCTCTGTACTGTGAAGGTATATTCATCCTACAGGACGGAGAGGCTAATATAGTCTCTGAATAGGTTCTACTGGCTGAAATCTGTGAGTTTAGTACATAACCTCAGCATACCTTACACATATCTGCATGCCTGATGTGTCTGAACTGTGCTTTCCACAAAGTGTCCAATTCCTCACTCCTGTCAGAAGTTTAAAGCTTTAAACGTTACTGATTTTTTTTTTTTAATACGAGGCTTCAAACCTCTTGTTGGGCTGTTCCTCAGTTCTTAGGCTTTGTATTTCTTGTGCCTGTAGAAGATACCTAATTTTAAAAAAGCTAAAAATGAATTTGTGATAATTTCCTTTTTTTTTTCTCCTAATTACCAAGTGCCTTTACACCGAAGACATGTCCCCCTGGAGATCTACCGTGTTAACAGTTTAAAAAAAGTTTGTGAAATGTTCCTATTCGTGTTAAACACACTCTGACCTCAAAGGTCACATTTCTTAGATTGACATTCGCAAAGTAACTAGGAAAGTCTCTGGGCCATGTTTTTTTTATTTAATGTTTCACAGGTTTATGGCTGGATAAAGTGGTAAATTAGAAATAAATTCAACCAAAGCAACCCAGATCCCCCACCCCCACCCCCCACATCCCCCCAGAAGGAAAGACAGGAGAACAGGGCGCAATGAAAACGGCTTTGAACTTTGACTTGAGGTCTCTTCGAGGACTCTGAGAGGCTGGTGCAGGGAGGCCCGCGTGCAGATGCAGGGGGAAGAGGGGGACAGGGGGCGAGGAGGAATTAGAGGGGTGAAGGACTGAGCCACCCTCACACTCTTTCCACATGAGCACACCTTACACGGAGACCCTGCCAAAGTCTCCAAGTATCCTAAAGGGATAAGAGGCCCCAGACAAAGGAATTAAAATATAGATTACACAAACGGCTACCCTTCGCCTTATCTTTCCAAACCAAGGATCCTAACAAATTGGATCAGACTTATAGGAGTAAGGGGGTAAAGAAGGTAGAGAGAGAGGGTGAGGGTTTCTTTTTTTTTTTTTTAAGAGAGTGTGGAATTTGCCTAAGGATGGATCAAGAGGGGAAAGAGCTAGCCTCTGAGACGGAAAAGATGGAATTTAACACATCCGAGACGACTTATCTTCTATTATTTAACTTTTCTTAAGGAATGAATTGAAGGAAGTCCCGTTTTTTTTTAAAACAAATTTAGAAAAAAAAAAACTACATTTTACGTGTCATTTTAACGCATTACAGGCAAAGCTGATCACATCATCAGCCACGGCCAGGAAACTGTGTTTGAAATTGAAGCCGCTGCAGGGGGGGGACACCAACATTAATCAGGTCCACAAATCCGTGTTCCCAAAACTCAGGGATTCAGGCCAAATCACATGGTGGATGGCTGTGAAAGACTGCCAGGATTTGGGGACTAAAGCGTCCACTTGTGCATACCGAATTTCCTTCTCCAATAGTAAACGGAAGCTCCCCTTGAAAGTGCCTGCAGGGTCTCCGGTATTTGTGCTGCAAATTACAACCTCCACATACTTTCTCTTTAGAATACATCGGTTGTTGGTATACTGGATAAATGGGCAAAAGTTTCCTGCGTATAATAATAATAATTGCTTACACTTATATAGCGCTTTTCTGGACACTCCACTCAAAGCGCTTTCCAGGTAATGGGGATCCCCTCCACCCCCACCAATGTGCAGCCCCACCTGAATGTATAGTCCAGCCATACACAAGCAAGAACTTTTCTTGGGAAACAAAACAAAACTTTCTTGCTCTGCAGATACTGTAGTGAGTCAAGGGATCCGATCTGCGAGTGAAATGTCAGGTGCACTGGCAGCCTGGTTGAAAAGACAGAAAGAAGAGCCCGCGTCGATCATTTCGCCTGTCGGTGATGAGGAGTATCGCATCTTTTGCGAAAACAGTTTGGCCCTGCGTTTGCACCTCTCCTTGCAAAGTGCATTATCCTCTAATTGGAAGCAAGGTGCCCCACCCACATCTGTTTCATTTGGGTCAGAGATAAGAACGCAGTTTCTTATGTTGGAAAAAAGTAGATACACACTAATTTGCGGGTCCACCATTAGGTTTTCTAAAGCGTGGCAAACATTTTTAAACTGTTTTGAAATTTGAGCCTCCCTTCAATGCCTAGACCTTGACCTGTGTCTTATTGGCTCCTCAGATGATACCCGATAGGACTGGTCTTCCACTTTTTCATCTAGAGACTTAGCGTAATGACTATTTTGTTATGGTCATTTTTACGTCTTCCGTCTCTTTCTCTTTTAGTTTTACTCCTTTTTGCGAGGGAAGATTTGGGAGGGGCGTGGGAATGGGATTGGAAATTCTGCATTTTGTCTATTTCATTAATTATTCTTAAGGCAACACCAGTTGTACCAACAACTTACAATGTTCTGTAATGTCACTTTAACACGTAACTCATGCAGCATGTATTTTTATTCATTGTTTTTTGGTTGAAAAAACAATAAAAAATACTTATTTTAAAAGCATGGTTTGAAAAGAACATCCCTGTCCTGATGCCAAACTTAAGGCACAGGAGAAGGAATGTCGAAGCCCATGTGGTGGAGGCAGACTCTGGCGATGATGGCACGCTTCTCTTCAGAGGCGAGACTTTTTAAACATGTGCATATGAAAACAAAAAAAAAACAATTTTAAAAAGCAGCGTGAGAGGCTCGTGCTTCATCGTGAGCTCAGCTGGTCTCCGGTGCTAAATGGTGATGACATTTGCAATGATGAGCACCGTAGGTGGGCTGGTTATGTAACAGGAGTGTGTGTCATGCTCACCGCTACAAGTGGAGTAAAGACAAAAGTTCTTTCTTTTGCATCGTAGCTTTCAGATCCACCACCAAGCCTCTAAGCCTGATTCTGACCTTTAGCCAGCCTCTTGTGTGCTAGAGGATACGAATAACGAGTAACGGTTGTTATGCAACCATCCTTAATATTTTCATGCCTCCTGACTAAACAGCACATTATGAACTGACATTTGGCCTGCAAGATTGGACTGTACTGGGAAGCACACAAGCCCTGTGGAGCGGCCTGGGGTGATGTTCCGAAGGTGGCCTTTTTTTCCGATCGTTGCCTCACCTGCGCCGTGGCAGAGAAGTGTCCAGGGTACAGGGACCCCAGCAGGTGCTCTATAGCCTGGCTGAGGCAGCACAGTGCTTGGCTGGGAGACCGCTGGTTCGGCACTCTGCCCTGCGCCCGCCGCCGTGACGCCCGCAGGAAGGTCCAGCCTGCTCACACGCGCCCCCTGCAACATGGGAGACAGAGAAGAGAGCGTTGGTCTAGGATGCAACTCACCCTTAATTGATAGGTTCGGTGATCACTTACAAACGAGGATAACAACAGTGTAAACAAGTGTAAAAGACTAACAAAAATACATATATTACCTGTGATACAAGGAAAAGCATGTTTCCGTGGTTTAACAGCCCCTCAAACTCTAAGAATTTGTGTTCTTTGTAGATTTACCCCAGCATGGTGCTACCAACAAACTAAAGACCTACACCGAGAAGCTATACTGGGATGACAACTGAGGCTTTAAATATTATTGACTGGGGCTGACCTTGCCTAGTATAGGAGCAAGGTGACATAACTCAATGGTAATTTTGGAATTAAAGAAGAAAAAGTTGGTAAGAACAACTATTTGTTAAAAGAAGGGGAGGTTCACAAGGATATGTTAGCGTTGTCATTAAAAAAAATAGATTACTTTATCCTTCAAGTGCCAACCAACCCTAACCTTCACACATGAGCAACTATTAAAGGAAGCTCTCAGTGGTGGTTTCCTCTAATTTCACCATTTGCATTGACTCAGTAGCTCAGCGTGCATCAGAACATTGATATTCTATTTTTAATTCAGGAAAAACATTGGAAAAAACAATTACAGGCCGTCGCCTTTACTCTTCCCCAACCCTGCAAAAAGATGTAAAAAAAGAATACAAAAGCAAGGCCACTTATTTGTATGTTAGTGAAGAATGAGGGGGACAAAGCAAGATGAAATTACATAGAGCTTCTCCTGCCATTACATGTACATCAACTAAATTTATATTTAATTGAGAAAACTCTATTTTCATTCTCTTTCTGTCAGACCCTGAAAACAATCATCTGAATATTCCCAAAAATATTCCTGATGGTTATTTCCATCACCTGGTGGAAAGACCTAGTTCTGTTTTCCCAGGCTGTACCCAACTGGAATGCATGGAAATAAACAGCTTTATACTGTCTGGAGACAGAGATCTGTCCAGTCTGTTCCCAATACAGGCATTGTTTTTAGATAACTATTTTTGCTTCAAATTAAGACCTCCTGTTTCTTTTTCAGCACGAGTTACCGCTTAGGGTTCCTGTTTCAATTAACTAACGGAGCTGCGAAGGATCACGAACAGGCTGCTTGTTCTAATCACGCCCCCCGGCCACTCTAACTTTGCATCCATGCAATCACCGATAATAATAGTCCACGAATAATTCTACTAATAGGGAGACTCACAGCACCATCGTGCATCTCTGACCCTGACACAGAGAGGGGAGATGCGGCGAGATCTCGGACTGTGGATTTGTTTGTAAGAGGAGGACAGAGACACCGATCTGACATCAGTGCTCACCTGGAGAACTGTAGGCCCAGGTTTACGGTTTACCGGGAGATAACAACGTTTTATTTTATGAAGACTCGCACCTTGAACAGACTATTTACCCACGGTTTCTACAGAGATTTACTGAACATATTAAAATGCTGCGCAACAAAAACATATTTTAAGCATTCTTCACATACTAGCAATTATTAATTTAAGGAGGTGGAATGCTTATTTATGCTTGAAGTAGTTCGGACTTTTCACCATAAAATGTTGCTTTTGCCTCTATTACATTTTGAAATATTTTTTTTACTCCTGCAAAAAACAACAGCAGTACCCTACTTCTTTCACCGGCAGGCACACATGAAATTCATCAGTTCAGGCATGAAAACCAAGAATTGAATCTTTCTGTACTTAAACGTTAACGATACAGACAATTAGATGCAGCGTCGAGGGTTTAAATCGACAACAACCCCGGTGAACCACTTTCATGCGCGTTTCTGATATATATTGACCGGTATGTTCAAATCTAGTATAAAATGTAACGAAGACAGGTTGTCCTTAACAGGACATTATATTGTTGTTGCTCTAGTAGTAATAGCAGTAACGTGAATTTTAACATTCTGTGGATTTTAGTATATATTTTTAAGTATCTAGGAGTATATCTTGGATTTCGTAGCAGTATTCAAATTATTTTTGTAGATATTGTTTGCACTTAACATAGTTCACGTAAACAAACGATAAAGGACGATTAGCTTTTACTATAACTTTTCTATCTTAAAAATACGACGTTTACATTTTGATTGAACTGAAACATTAAATTATATATGTATTAATATGTAAAGTAATAAGTTCTCTAATGTGTTATAAAGTGAGATAATAATTAAGAGATTATTATGTAAACGCTGTGTTAGTGCACCTTAATTAAATTTCAAACTAGGGCTTTCTTGTAAATGCCGTTTTATTGTCACAGATAAAGACGTTTTGCGATTCCCATTTCCAAACCTTTGACTCGTTTTTAAAAAACGAAAACACTACAGACGAAGACCCAGGTGAATGTGGAGGTTATAACACGTGACTCTGACAGTATCTACGTAATGAGATGTTTCATTTGTCGAGTAAATGTCAATTTGCAGAAATTAATTCTGCTGCTGGTTCAGTTATATACTGTATTTATTGTTTTCGAAGAAAGGTTTTCTTTTACAATACTTAAAGTAACTGCCGTGTGTTTCTGCGGTTTGTACATGAAATGCTTAATGAAATCATTTCAAACAGCGTGCGCTAAAATTACTATGGTAATGGAATTAATCTAATAAATACCGTGAGTTATTTAGGCCACGTGTTTTTATTTTGCCCAGAAGGGTCAAGTTGTCGTCTGGACCTGGAGTTTAGCCGTTTATTATAAGAAGGCGACCCAAATATTAAAAATCGACTCTTTCTGATATATAATGGATATATGCGCTATGGCCCACATAAAATTGCCCCGTTCGCTGGTATTATGGATAACGCGTTTTTTCATTAGAGAAAATACACACTCTGTACACACACTGTATTTGTAATCCAAACTCACGCACAAAAGACAAGGTTATATATTAAAAAGAATGAATCCGCCAACAAACAAGGTAACTAGGATATAACCATGGAAAACTACTGAACATTAGTTTGCTCTATTCGTTTTCATGAAAATAAATTCTGAACATACTTAAGCTGCTTAGCACAACTGTTAATCCTCTTAACAGTAGCGATGTAATAAGAAACATTGTTCGTCTTAGTATTTTGTGCGACTATTAATGTTTTGACTGTTATTGTTATTGTGTTTGGGGCTTTATTCCTGCTTTTTCAAGCCCAACAATTTGTGCTGCCTAGCCAAAACATCAAAATCGGTGCTCTGTCCACCGTGAATACCAGTATTCTGGCACATAACAACTAAACAGCCGCCCTTAGTCAGGCAGCTGGGAAATGGTGTCAGATATTAAAAATATTGTATCTGCATGGTGCGGTTGATGAAGAAAGCAGAGCCGGTTTGGCTACAGCTTTTTCAGATGCCCTCGAAGCAATTAGCAGCCACGAGAAAGACTCTGACGATGTTTAAGATCATTCTCAAGGATTCTATTTTTTTTTTTCATTTTCTGGGGAGGGTTCTTGAGGACAAAAGCTTTGGCACGTCTGCGCTCCTCATGTTATTTAAATCACACCGCACACACCTGCTCTGAAACCAGGCCTCTGTCGACACGGCACGGAAGAAACTGCGATTTATCTGCTGTATTTTGCTGTCGTTGTTTTTAATCGTTGCAAAATACAAATAATTGTTTATAGCCTTCATTTTAATAAACTATAAAATATTTTAAAGGCGAGTAAGAGGAGAATGCTTGTCACCGGTAACTGCATTAGCTAATGTCATGGCTCGCTAACAGTCCACGCCTGCTTCAGCACACCTATGGCATAGATATGTCCAGGAGCGTGACTAGTAAACTTTTTATGGCATGTTTTCTATTTTGCTGCATTTTACTAATACAAATCAACTCTTGCAATAACGGGGTAGAGCTTCACAAACCTATCCACGGAGAGTGGAATAAACACCATATATTCGAGTGAGTGATACAAGCGTTTCCTGCACGTCTGTACACACAAAGCACGGCCTGCGAACAGAAAACTCGCTGTGTTTAATAGAATGCACGGAATATTGCCGTTGCTATGTAAAGTATATGCAGTCTGATGTCCAGTAACCAGTAGTTACAAATAGCAGTTTTTGAAAGTGTGTTGTAGAATATGCCTATTTAAAAAAAATCAGAAGTATCACTAAATGCTGATAACAACTGCCTCCAAATTCCACAAGACATTATTCGACATGTTTGAGCACAGTATTCTGCGTTCTGATAGTTCTTCCGTCAGTGATGAAAGACCTTCTCCTAACTTGCTTTCAGCTACAGCGCATAACAAGTTAAACCCTAATTTTGCAGGGGCG